CCCTCCCCCTACCCCCAATTGGAAACAAGGAGAAATTAGGAGAGAGGCAGAACGTAAGTAACCAAGTTAAAATGTGGCTGCTTGACAGCTCTGCTCTATTAAAAAGTGCCAAGGGATCTTATGATACAAACTGATTTGGTGCCTTAGCTGTTATGGCTGTTATGAAGATTGCTGCCCCAGCAGACAAAGCGTGGGGTTAAAAACTGATTTGGTGCCTTAGCTGTTATGCCTGTTCTGAAGATTGCTGCCCTAGCAGACAAAGCGTGGGGTTAGTGCTGTCTTAGGGGAAAGAACACAACCTACTAAATCACCAGTTCCAGTACTGATGCGGGCAGAGCCTCCCTCGCTTGAGATTGTACCACCATGGACTAGAGCATGTGGTGTAGTCGTAGGTCAGGGTGGACTGGGCCCCATAATTTCGTTTTACATCTTTAGATAATAACCTTGTTACCTCACTGTGGTCAGGAAAATGCCTGTAAGTAACACCTTTTGTTGCCTGTGCGTGCTAATTGCTGGCTTTTTCTAACCAAATTCCCTTTTTGCTACCCCACACACAGCTAGCTCTACGCAGCCAGTGCAGCTATGGGTGACTGAATTATATTTAGCTGTGTCACATGTGGGAGTTGGGCAAGGTCTGAACTGTTTCTTTTCATGTGCTGGCACAGTTGAAAGACAATGAAATCTACAAGACTTTTGATGCCTGACGCTTGGGCCATTCAGGCCGCCTTCAGAGGAGTCCAATGCAAAGCTTTCAAAGCACAGCTGTTTATGTTAGTTTGCACTTCAGCAGTGGAAGCAGCCATGTCCTCAGCCCTTTTGTGGCTCACCCCAATGTGAAGTTCCCTCTTTAAATTGGCCTCTCTCATTACTTCTTTCTACAGTCTGTATCAAATTAAGATAAGTCCTTTTTTTCCAGTGTGGTCCCTTTTCTCGCCTCTGTCTTGTGCTGTGGGTGTGTATCTGAGCACTGGCGCATGGTGCTAATGCTTCCTGGAGAGAACACAGGCATTGAAAATCATACAGTGGCTGGACTTGCTGCTTTCTTTAGCAAGCTGCCTTTAGATGAGTTGCAGGGCTGTTCAGGCCTCCAGACGTCAGTAGCTGTGTGCTCATCTGTCTGTTTTCTGTTTTGGACTTATGAACAGATGCTCAGATCTGGGTGAGCTGAGCTTTATGCACAGACCCACTGGTCTTGGGACTAGTTCTACGTGGGCCTGGTTCCTGTTGCAGATTAAAGCAGACCTAACTCTGATCTACACCAGCTGTCAAAGTTCCCTTTCCCCCAGTACTTCCTTATGTTGAGAACTGAGAGTGCATTGACATGGGAGTCATTGCAAGTATCAGAGGATCCTTCTGAGGACAGTATCTGATTTGTCCTAGGAGACTGGTACAAAAAGTACCCTAGCACACCTGAGATTTGGGCCTTGTGTAATCGTTGCTTACACATTAGCGGGGAAGAAAGTGGAGTTTTTTTATTTTAAAATTAAATGTCTTTGCTAGAATAAGACACTTTCAAGGGAAGAAGAATGACCCTGTACTTTGGTGACTCTACTGAGTTGCTTTATCACTTCAAGAGTGAAATGTTCCACTGTAGAATAAAGGAAAGGATTGACATGGAAATGATCTTTGATCATCTGGTCTGACTTCTGTATAACATAACCCAGGGAACTTCACTGAAATAACTCCTGTTTGAACTAAAGAATTTGTTTTGTAAGATAATCTTGATTTAAAAATTGCCAGTGACAGTTCACCAGGATTTTTTCCAATGATTCATTACAGTCTCTGTTGTTAAGGCTAAATTTGTCCTGCTTTGCCAGCTGTTGGATCATGCTATAATCTCTCTCTCCTAGAGCCCATTAGCCAATATCTGTTTCCCGTGTAAGTACATAGTGATTTGTGATCGAGTCACCCCATAACCTTCTCTGTGCTAAGCAAAGGAGATTGGGCTCCTTGGAATTTTACTGCAAGGCACAATTTCTAATCCTTTAATTGTTCTTGTGGTTCGTCTCTGAACCTTCTCCAATTTACCATACAGTGCTAGAAAGAGGATTCTTTTTGACGGCTTCTAGTTGTCGTTGCTTGGTTCTTGTGCCTAGCCTGTTGAATTCATATTTTAATCTATGCAGGTGCTTATAAGTAGCTATTGAAATAAGTTAGATAAAGGCTTAATTTTATTTAATGGAACTGTTCTCTAGATATTGTGAGTGGGTGAGGAGGAATAGTTAATAGAAAGAAAGATGGGAAATTATTGGGGGGGGGATGTAAAATACTCACCCTTAGCAAGTGGAGTTAAATCAACATGAAATCTTTCTTGTGGCAGCTTCTTCCTGCGGTTGGGGTGGGGCAGGACATCTGAAGGACTTGCAGATTGGCCCAGAAAACAGGTTTGAAATGTCTAATGCCGACAGCTTCCCCACAGAACCTTGACCCCGGTGTGTAGGCAGGCTCTTTATTCAAGGGTCCCGTGTGGGCTGCGGCAGGCCTGTTAGCCAAGCGTCCCACGCCGGGTCTGCCTGCTGAGTAAATTTTTCAGTGGTTAGTTGATTACTCAAAGAAGGTCGTCTCTTATGAGAGTAACCATGTCTATTAATAACCTGCTCGGGTCCAAATGTTTGGGCAGACTTGTGACAGAGTGATTCTCAAAATGAGTGAACCCTCTGAGCTCAATTGACTTAGAAAGTAGTCTTTGATCAACAGCTGCCAATCCTTCACACCACACTGGTGCTGCTGCTGCAGCAACTAACAATACTAATTGCCAAGATCCACGTGGCGCAGGACAAACAGATGACAGAGCTCTCTCGGGGGTACTTGTAGCCTGTTGAGCATAACACAACAAGATGAGCAACTCCAGGGTACCTTCCTGGGCCAGAATTACAACAGTGAGGATAATGAATACACTTACAGACAGATACTGAATGTTCAGTAGTAAGTTTGGGGTGTAGTAGGGTAGAAAGGAAGGATGGCCCCATGGCTAAGGCACTAGTCTAGAGTTTGGGAGACCGAAGTTTGATTCCATGCTCAGCTATAGACTTCCTGTGTAAAGTTGGGCCAGTCACTGAGCCTTTCTGTGCTTCAGAAAGGGTGAGGGAGGGATGTCCTGTAAGTGTATGAGTTTGCAAGGCTCAGGGTTTCCATGAAAGTGTGTGTGCATGGCTCAGGAATGGCTTTTTACTGAAACCAGCTCTTAAGCCTCTTCAGTTGATTCAGGTGGAGGTGGCAGTGAAAGGTTGAGCCAGCAAAGGAGTCACCAGAGCTTGGAGCTGATGGCTCCGGCGGAGTCTGGTTTTTAGCATTTAATGGCTTTGCTGAAAGCTTTCCTTCAGACATGAGATTGGGATTGAAGACCCATTTCAAGGACCAGGCTGCCACTCAGAGTAGTGAGGTGTCACTGCTAAAATGCTCAGCAGTGAAGTATTTAACCTCCTGGACACTTTCATTTTCCTTTGGTAAGTGTAGAAAAATATTAGGCTTCCTAGGTGTTTACTCAACCTTTAGGAGGCCTTGATTCCTAGTACTATAGCCATATCCCCCACGAATGCACCTAAAACCATACAGCGCCTTGCACGGTGGGGCGGGACCCTTTGAGTATCACAGCACTAAGACGATCATTCTTGTCTATGCCACAAGACTCTCTGCCCATCTGGAGAGTAATTGCTTCCTTTTAATTGTGAGACAGGCACCTTAAATGAAAGCTGAGCCCTATTGTGCTAGATGTGGTGCAGACATGTAGTGAGAAGCTCTGTTCCCCAAAAAGATGATAATCTAAAGAGGGGAAACAGGTGAGAGAGGTGAAATATCTCTCCCAAGGTTCACAGCATGGCTCACTCCAGTGCCCTAGCCCCCATTCATGGAAAACCACATCAGCATTTTGGGAAGTCTGAGGTCTCCTCTCTGTGCTATTGTTTCTGTGTCTGCAGACTAAGGAAGGCAAAACTCAGTTTGCATTGGGATCTGCCTGGAAGGCTTATCTCTGTGCCCCCCACCTGGAATCAACCCTGCAAAAACTAGGAGAGCCCCCAGAGAAGTGCTGGCACAGCCAGGCATCCCAGCGAACCCCGTACAATCTCGCTTTCAAAATACAGAGACATAGTTGTCCCAATTTAAACATTGCAGATTAAAACATCGTAGTTGAAATGTGGTTCCTTTTATTTACCTCCTGAGACCTGGAACTCAGAATGGTCTGCTTCTCCCAGGAGGCATCAGATACCTATAGCTTGCTGGACTGTGTAGCTGCGTAGTTGCTAACTGCTACAGGAAGAGCACAGAAACGACAACAGATTGTTGGTTTTTTTAAATCAATTTGCTGACCATAAGGCTCATATGTGTAGCATTTTAAATCTGCATCTGTTCGTAATTTTGACATCTGAAACAGTGCCTACATAAAATTCACCTTGACTAATGCCGCGCTCCTCATTTATTTTAAATCCATTATTGTTTGATACTTTTCATTAAATAGAGCATCCTATCTACACCTTCCTAGGATGATGGAATTGATTGTCATTAAACTGGGATGTTCTGTACTGTTTTACTTGCAAGATCAGCCTGTAGTGACTCGCTGACCATTTTAAAATCAACTTTGGATGTTTTTCTGAAAGATTTGTGGTAGGATTGTTTGGGGGTAGGTCTCTGGCCTGTGTAATGTAGGAGATCACGCTAGATGGCCACAGTGGTCTTTTCTGGCCTTGGA